CTGCATGATTTATGTTGAATAAACTTGAATTTTTCGAGGTTAGGACCAATCCAACATTTTGGGTTTCTATTGCAACCCTTATAATTGTTTGGCGTTATCCTTACTGAATTAGCCCCTACCTGATTATTAGAAAGAGAAGAATATGGTTTTTGGAAATTATTAAAATGCCACTAAGTTTGTCTAGATGTATAAATAGTTCAAATCACTAGTTGAACGCATTTTTACTTCTCGTCTTATTTTTTGGTGCCAGACGGAAAAAAAAAAAGAAGGAAAGGGAGAGCTTTTGTTCAACTTGGTTATGGTAAGGTAAATTTGGCTTTAAATTAACTTAGTCCAACTTAATCTAGAATTATATTGTTAAAATTATTTGTGATGAAATCGAGCAAGGGAAGAAGTTAAAAAAAAAGAAATAAGGGTTTTAGACATGCAATGCTATTAAAGTACGTGCAAGTAGAAATTTACCTCAGAGCTGCACTTCTCTTCTTCTTTGCACGCTCAAACTTTGTCGTGGATGATTTTCTGGTTGAAAATCTGAAAAATATTTGAAAGAATGGATTTTGTTAGTTATGCAGTTATGTTATTATGCTTAGATACATGTTTATGTAAGCTAGAATTTAAATAATTCATTGAATAAGGATCGTAAAGGCATGCTGCATTTCCGCATCTATATAAAGAGCTCCTAAAGTAACCAGGGGCTGCTCCTATGGTTAATTTGGGCTGAAATAAGTAAAAGAACTATGCTAATTTCTAGGGATATTTGTGGTTGTTGCTGAAGTTAACTGGGCCTGATTTAGAAATTTGAAAGGACTGGAAAAGTTATTTGGGGTTACTCCTAAAGTTAATTGGAGCTGGCTAATAACTAATTTTCATATATTTTGTATTTTAGGTGTAGATCATGCACACCAAAATTCAAGTTAATTGAATATTTTTAATTAAATCCAAACTCTCTATTCACACCCTAAGCATTATCATTTTTTGTGATCAATACATTCTAAAATTTTTTATTTTCAGTTAATACCTTTTAGAATTTAAAACTAGTAAAAAATTAAAAGCTAACAACCAAATCCCCTAGTTGCAGTTTGACTCCTTAACTTATAGGTAACCTGACTGTTAATCTTAGATTTTTTATGAGTTTTAAATTGTAAAAATTAATGATTGAGAGTAAAATTTTTGAGTCGGAGAACAATAATGTGCATATACAAAAATAGAGTTTGGCCTTTTAATTATTTAATAACTATTTAATAACTATACATAACTTTAGACCATTTAATACATAATAAAAAATATAATTTTTTTATACATAATCTACACAAATAAGATATTAAAATCAATAGTTTCCTTTTTTGTGAAATATTAAATTCGATCGTTGACTTAGTCACAATAAAAACTCTACAAAAATTATTAACTAATGTACTTACAGAGGTATAAATTCATCCTAACTCAACATCAAAGAAGTACTTCATACAGTGATCACATGCTTCTTGTCTCCCTCTGAAATTAAATTGCCTGCCTACTACAAGGTTAACAGAAAGAGATTAACAAAAAGTTACAAATTGAAAAAAAAAATAAAGAAAACTTACGCTCTATTAGTATGGTTGAGATTTAATTTTTTGTTTTGAATTTTATAAATTTTGTAATTATTGAAAAATAAAAATAAAAATAAAAAATTAATAATTTATTTAAGATAAGTTTTAATACTACTAATTGAAAATATGAATTTGTTTAATAATATTAAAATTATTTATTTCCACATTTCTCTAATAAATCATAATAATATTTACAAAATATGTAAAACTAAATGAGTTTTTTTATTTAAAATTTAAAAAAATTATAAAAATAAAAAATAAAAATCAACAATTATAACTATATTAAATGGAGACTTATTTAAAAAAAAATTATTTGCATCAACTTGGAAATTTGAATCATAGAGAAAATAAATCAAAATAATATTTACAAAATATATAAAACTAAATGAGTATTTTTATTTAAAATTTTAAAAAATTATAAAAATGAAAAATAAAAATAAACAATTATAACTATATTAAATGAAGACTTATTTAAAAAAAATTATTTGCATCAATTTGGAAATTTGAATCATAGAGAATGGAAATAAAAAGATTAAAAGCAAGAGGCATGGCCCAAAAATCTAGACTAAAAAAGTGGCTTTTTTTTTTTTGTGAGAAAAAACTGTTGCGTTTACCTCCAGATATCTTTCAGAAAAAAAAAGGGGGCGGGGGGGAAGAAAGGAAAAACTCCTAGACATTGATGTTGTTGGCCAAAAATACCATCGGATGGCACAAGATCGACGAATAAGAGCTCCTGCTCCTGATGACCAAAAAAATAAAAAATAAAAATAAATAAAGGTTCCTGCTCCTTAAAAATGTGTTAATTTTTCTATTATTTCTAAACTTCTAAAATTCCAAACAGAACTGATGAAGAAGAATAATAATTTCAAACAAATTACTGATGAAGAAAAATATTGGTAATTAGGAGAAAGAATCAAAATTTAAGATGAATTTTTTTTATTGATTATAGTGTATGTTCTATATGAACTCATATAATTAATGATTGAAAAAAAAATGTGTTTTCGAACTTCATTCTAAAATTTGGTTCACAAAAAACATTAGTAAATGAAAATGTTGCAAAATTTAAAACTAATTTCTCATCTTAAACGGAAAAAACTTTGTATTTTAAAAGCTTCCTTGTCCCTAATTCACATCTTCATTTTCATGAACATGAAATTTGTAAAAGGAGTCACCTTCACCCCAAAGAGAGCGTTGGACAAACCCAAAATTTTGACGTGAGTTTTATACCCAAAATGCCAACTTGGATCCAACAGAAAGGGCAGACATGCTTCTTCAGCAGGCAGAGAAATTGGATTGCTAAAGTACCCCTCACTGGCAGCGGCGGAACCTGGATTTTATTTTAGGGAGGGGTAACTATAATACTGCAAAAGATAAAAAAATCATAAAATCAAACTTTATATTTTACTTATGAACGATTGAAGAAGGTTGATTTTGCTAGAGTTATAACTTATAAATGAGAGACATACTTGCATATGCAGAAACTAAAATCATCTGCCACAAAAAATTACTAAAATCTATGTTGTATCTAAATTTTAGTTCAAATAAAATTATTAGTACAAAATATTAATATATGTCAACCAAACAAAAAGATGTTACAAGAAATTAGCATATTAAATTCTAATTATTTGTATGGTGTAGCCCTTAAAAGCAACTAATCAATGGCAAAAATCTTCAATAATCAAGTAGCATTATAACCGAACATCAAAAAAAGTAGCATTATAACTAATTATATTCTATAATCAAAGATATTTTTAAAGATAAAAACTATGTTATGAATACATAGTATTTTTTGCACCAAAAAATAAAATTTTATCATTTCTTCAGTCTCAACTCCCATAAAAAAATTGAAATTTTAACTTCAAAACACCGTCCTCCAATGCATAATTTCAAAAAACTATTCATTGAATTTAATGTTTTCTTTATATAGATCATTCATGTTAATTTTTAAGTTGATCTAACATATGTAATTATTCAATTAAGAAATTTATATTTTTAATGTATATTTAATGGTGTTAAATTTTAAATAATTAATGAACTGATTATATATATTCAATCAATTTAAAAATTGACAAACATGATCTACATAAATAGAATATTAAATCCCTCTCTCATTCTTAATTTGTCACTCTTAGATGTTATATAATATATAATTTGTTCTTAGAAACTCTTATTTCCAATTCCAGAGAAAAAAAAATTAGGTTGTTGGCGCTGCGATGGACATTATTGACTCATCAAACCAAATCATAATTTAAAACTAAAATGGAGGGCACTAACTGATTCTTCTGTCACTTATGGATCAAAGGGAAGAATACGGTGTCATCATCGAATAAGGACCTAAAGTGCTGCTATTAAATATTTCTTGTTGTTTTGTTAAAATTTTCTTGATCATGGACTAGGATAGGAAGTGATCCGAGTCCCTTTGGGGGGGGGGGGTTTACATATCAGATACACAACTTACCCAGCAAAAACTCTACAGAGCTAATAAGAAAAAGACTAGTTAGAAATCTCATCTCGTAAAGGTTATGGCTGTTGCTTTAATTCCAGAGTTAAATAAACAGAAGAAAAAGAAAAAGAGAAGAAAAACAATCTATGAAACCCAGATAAGAAATGGATCTTAAAATTGAAAAACACACAAATCCATGCATACTCCCACATGGAATTCATCAAAACAGAAATGAAAGAGAGGAAATCAACTTCGCAATGGAATTTACCTCTATGTATGGAAATTGGAAATGATTTTGGAAAATGGGTCAACAAGTGGGAGAAATGCCCACGAAATGAAAGAGGCTTTGCTATACACCCTTTTCTATTAATCGGTTGAAGGGAATGCTAAGAAACATTAGCAAGGTGGAGTAGCTAACCCTTATTATAGGAATGTTTGTTGGAGATTGCTATGTGCTACTGTATGGTTAAATGTAATAAATGATCTATTAACTTTATAGTTTTTATCAGTTTAGTCCAGAAGCAAATTTTCTCTCCAAAGTGGTCTACAAGTACACCATTTCCACACAAAAATGGGGCATTTAGCTAACTTCCGCTGGCAGAAATCCACACTGGCTGCAAACGAGGTGCCACATTATCTGCCACATGCCATAAGCCTCATGCCATGTCATTAAAATATTAGATTTTACTCCTTTATCTAAAAATAACTTGTTAACTCAAAATTTATTTTATATTAGTATTTTTTATTTTTTAATAGAAATAAATATTTTTTTCTTTAATTTTATTGTCGTTGTTAAATTTAATTATTTATTTTATTATCAAAATTTTCTCTTTATTGAAGATAATTATTTTAGATCAGATTGATAATTTACAAACTCTTTATAGTACATGATGACTTACGATTTCATTGTTAAAAAACATAGTCAATAAATCATTTTTCTTTAACTTTTTAATTAATCAGTCCTAATTAAATTAATTGACATTGTAACTTGTTTGTGTTTTCTAACATTATAATTTTAATTTACAAACATTTTTTTAGATATTGTCATTATCCTTCAAGTCTTCAACCAAAAAATATATATATGATTACTTTTATTTTTAAATTTAAAATTTCATTTATTTGATGCAATTCTAATTAATTTTTTAATTAATGTTTCATTTTATCCTCTTAAATAATTCTTAAAGCGTCATCTTTGTTGTATGATGAGGTAAGTGCGCATTTAGCGTTGGTGAGTAGTGAGAGCTAGAAAATTATTTTAGAGGGCAAAATGAAACATTAATTAAAAAATTAGTCAGAATTGCATAAAATAAATGAAATTTTAAATTTTAAAAATAAAAGTAATAATAACAAAAGTAATGAACCATATTAAATATTTTTTTTGTAAGTTTCCTCTCTCCCCGCCGGGGGTGACAAGGTCTCATTACGCTATTAAAGAATTAATTATTTAACTTTTGCTTCTAATCCTAGTTAACAAAAGAATACGTAAATAATACAAAAATGTTATAGTTACATATTATGTAATATTATAAATTTATAATATGATGTATTGTTATATATTTAATTTATTTTTTTTAAAAGATTTACTGTGATATTATATGCATTTACTTAATTAATATCATGTTATACGTATTTAATATTGTTATATTGTAAATTTATAATTCTATATAATATTGTAATTATAACATTATCATAAATAATACATCGTTGCTACTTAGAAAAATCAAATATTCTTGCAAATATGAATAAGTCTGAAAAGAAAAATGATATGAGTACAGTCAAAACTAGCACACCTAGGTACACCCTTTTGTTCAATTGTAAATAAATGATTTAATGCTGTTTGACAGCTGTTTAGAAGTTATCTTCACTTATTTCAAATAGATTGGAAATAGGTGCCTTCCCTGTTTATCTTCCCCATGAACCCTGCACTTTTCCAGTACCTTTCTTCCACCCATTTTCGATTACATTTCTCACACGACCCATAGACACACTATAAGAAATAAGATTTTCAGTAACAAAAAATTGTGACGAATGTTGAAATCAACATTATAATTTATTACATTTGTGACAGAATTTAAAAATGAATCACAAATGTAAGTATATTTAATAATGATAAAAAAAATTCATCATTAAAAAGATATTTCGTTACTGAAAAGTGATTACAAATAAAAAATAAGTTTGTAACAATAAAAATTATCACTATAACTCATTTTAATTAAGACAAATTTCAAATATTGATCACATATACCTTACACATTCAATTATGACCAAATAATTCACAACTAAAAATGTATTGTCACTAAAAATATATTTCATAACTAAAAGTTATCACAAAAAGAATACATACTTGTGATGATAAAAATCATCACTATAATTCAATCTTATTTAAGTTTTCTTTAATCAATGCATCCCACATCGATAAAAAATACATAAGAAAATAAGGTTTTGCACTATAAATATATCCCACATTAATAAGAAATATTTAAGAAAATAAAGTTTTATACTATAAGACATGTGAAGCTCAATAAAACTTGAGCTTAGTTTGGGTTGATTAATTTTAATTGGGTTTGATTAATTTTAATCAAAATTGATTAGTGCTGAAATAATAATATTTTTTATTAAACTTTTGTGATAAATTTATATATCAATTTTTTTGTGACATAATTTTTGTTACAATATTTGTATTGTAATTATATAAATATCTTTTTGATTTAATATTAATTTTAATAATTAATAACTAAATTTTTCATCACAATTGCATTTGTGATTATTTTTCTCACTCAATTGTAACATTTTTTATGAAAATTATTGTAACAAAAAATATTTTTTTGTGATGACTAAATTTGTTATAAATAAATCATTAATAATGTAGATTTTTTTCATCATTATAATTTTTTTTTGTGATAGGTGTCAAATTCGTCACTGAGAGTATTAGTGACAAGGGTTTTACTAATAATTTAAATTTCATCACTAATTTTAGTTTGTGATGGAAGATAAAGGTTTAGTGACTAAATTATTAGTCACTAAATATGGATTTTCTTGTAGTGAGATCATCTATTCTCATTATTGAACAGAGTGGAAGAGGTGCCTTTCTTGTTTATCTTCTTCCCCATGAACCCAACACTTTACCAATACCTTTCTTCTACCAATTTCGACTACATTTCTCTGCCCCCCTCCCTTGTTGTGATTGGGTTTGCACAAACATAGTGTTGTGTTTGCACGAACACAGTGCTGTGTTTGCACAAACCTAGATGATTTGGGTTCGGGACAAATCTAGGTTCCTCGCAAACTTAGATCTAACCCAACACATGAACTCACTAGATTTCAAGCAAAACCCCTTTCCTTCCATCTATTTCAGACAAGTGAAGGATACTAAGTTTGTTCTAGATCTATGGTTTATTATTGTTGACTTTACTTAGAATCTCTTGATTTTGATTATTCTGCATTGTGTTTTTCTCCAACGTTGTGGGTTTGGAATTGTTATTCAAAATTGTGATTAAAGGCTTGTGGAGGACCAACTCAATTTTGTTTCAATTTGGAAGCACAAATCTCCAAAAAGTGCTTTGACAAATCTAATTCTCCATCCCTCAAGCGGAAGCAACTGCATAAGCTACAAATGAAATACATAGAAGAGTATATGGTGATATCATCATTTGTAGATGAGGGCAAGACTTTTTGTTGTTGGCTGTTTGGAAATAGGAGTAAGCCATGGCTAGATGAATGGCTGCTGGGACAAGTATTTCTCCATTTTATTTCAAACCATTTGTCTAATAAAATGTATCTTGCCAGATGTTCAACTCGTAGGTGCATATATCACTATTTGAAAAACTATTACTTTAGACCATTAATGGTCTATAATTTTTGAAGGTTAAATGCTAAATTTGGTCTCTCAACTTTAGTAAGTTGCACATTTTTGGTCCGTCAACAATTTTTTGCACTTTTTTGATCCCTCAACTTTAAGAAATGCACAACGTTTGTCCTTCTGTTAAATTGAGCCGTTAACTTAGCCACGTGGTATTTTTTATTCTTTTTTTGATGACATGGCAAGGACAACTTTAAAAGTTGCTGATATGGATTTTTTTTTTATGACATGGCAAAGACAACTTTAAAAAGTGCTGATATGGATTTTTTTTTTGACATGTCATCTTCTTCCTTTTCTTCCTGCACCAAAGACCCTTCAATGGCTTTCACATTGCTTGCAAACCACCAATAAGATCTGTGAACCCTAGAATGGTCTCTCACCTTCACTCTCTGCAAAATCAATCTAACTCGAGTTGGGTTGTCTCTACTGCTAGTGGGGTGAGTCCTTACAAAATAATATGTCTATAAACCAGAGAATTTGGAATTCTCTGCCATTGAACCCAGCTACTGGGTTTCATTGGAGCCTCAAACTTAGCAGATGTTATCAAATCAAATTAACCTTTCAATAAACAATATCAATCAAACTCTAATCAAATTTCAACAAAAATACAATCAAACTCTAATCAAATTTCAAGGAAAATGCAATCAAATTGTTAATCGACGATCCGAGAACAATTAGTCGATCTAGATTTGCAAGTGATTATAGATTCTTCGTGGGTAGAATGGAAAGAATTAGGAGATGAAGGGCTCACGGGTAATGAATGGGAAGATCGAAAAATTGGAAGAAGGATTTTTTGGCTAGATGCATGGAATTGGCCGAACGCAGCAAAGTTGAAACCCAGCAGCTGCCGTCCACTGCTACTGGAACCCACAGCAACAGCAAATCCAAGAGCTCAGCAGGATTGGCCCCTTCTAAATTGACCCTTTACGTTTCCAATCTGGACTACGCCCTCACCAATTCCGATCTCCATACCCTCTTCTCCACCTTCGGCAAGGTCGCTCGCGTCACCGTTCTCAAGGGGGTTTCGACGAACCCAGCAAGGCTGGGTTTCAACCGAACCCAGCAGCTGGGTTCGTCGAAACCCAGCAGTTGGGTTTCATCTGCCGGGTTCCGATGAACCCAGCTTTCCACTGACCTAGGGTGGGAAAGAAAGAAAGAGAAAGAAAGAAGGGAAGAAGAGGGATTGGGAGGGTGAGGAAGGCTGGGTTTCGTTTGCTGGGTTCATCTTTGCACCGACCCAGGGTAGGAAAGAAAGAAAGAGAAAGAAGGAAGGGGAAGAAGAGGGCTTGGGAGGGTGAGGGTAATAAAGTAATTGTATTTGTTTTTAATTAAAATATAAATATTAATATATGTGGCATTTTTATTTATTTCTATAATATAATTATAATATATATTATTGCCACATCATCAAAAAAATTAAAAGATAATGCCACGTGAAATTATTTAACTGCCATATCACACTTAACTGACGGAAGGACCAAAACTGTGCAATTTTTAAAGTCGAGGGATCAAAAAAGTGCAAAAAATTGTTGAGGGACCAAAAATGTTCATTTCGTAAAGTTGAGGAATTAAATTTAGCATTTAACCATTTTTGAACTAGCAAGGGCTCATTATTTTTTTGTTACACCTATTTTCGGACCATTATGGTCTAGATAACATTGGTACCAACAAGGCACCAGAACCATTCAAAGAGCATCAAATTAGTTCAAACCAATACTGGTTTCAATATTTGCATCAAAATAGTAAAATTCCAAAATAAAAAAATAAAATAGAGTAACAAAATAATATTTAAATTATTTTAGATCAACATCTATTTGTCTAACGCAATTACTGGCCAACTAATAAAGCTCAATATTCAAAATTTCTAGACCTAAATTGATCTAAAAAATTATGGGATGTATAAACTATACCTAGTATGTATAAGGAGGTGAAAATCTAAGTTGGAATTATTCAAATTGGTATTGATTAGGAAAATTAGACCAAACAATTCCCATCGTCCTATTGACAAGCACAACCATGGGCCCATTTGGTAGATTATTTCAGATCGTTTGTGGTTCAAATAAGTGCTCCCGATTTGAGAACATTCCCCTTTTCAAAAATTTTTCTTCCTTGCATTTAAGGACAAGACTCATTTTGGTGATGTGATTATGGTTTTTTCAAGCATAGGCTTACATTGTTCACTCCTTTAGTGACCTAAGAGGCTTACAACATTAATTGCGTGTCTCATATTGCCTAATGATGATGTAAGAATGTATTACTGATAAATGGGTAATAAGTAACTTTAAGGCTAGTTATTTTACGCTTAGGTTCTTTGGTATTCAAAGCTTCAGGTGTAGGAATTTTGGGTAACTAGTAAGCATTGAGCCCTAATTTGTGGGATGAATTAAGAAAGTAATCTCTAGCCATATTATCTAGACCACTTATGGTCTAAATAACTTATTGGGACTATTAGTGGTCCAAATAAGTGCTTCCCATTTTAGAACATTCTCCTCTTTAAAAACTTTTGTTACTTCATCTAAAGACAAGAGTTAGTTCTAGTGATGTGATTATGGTTCTTTCAAGTTTAGGCTTGTGTCATTCACTCTTTAAATGAGCTAAGAGGCTAATAGCATCAATTGCACATCTCATATTGCTTATTAGAGACATAAGAATGTGCTAAAATAGGTAACATGTAGGTTTAAGGTTAATTACTTTACCCTTGGGTTTTATGGTATTTAAAGCTTTGTTTGTTGGAATTTAAGGTAACTAGTAGGCATTAAGCCCTAGTTTGTGGGGTGGATTAAGAACATGATCTTTAGCCCTATTATTCACATAACTAATGGTCTAAATAATTTATTGCGAGCATCAGTGGTTTGAATAGGTGCCTCCCATTCTAAAACTTTCTCCTCTTTAAAAACTTTTATTTCCTACATTTAAGGACAAGACTCACGTCATGCCCCAACCTAAAGGTTAAGGTATAACGAATGCCACACATCCATTGAATGACCCCATAAATGTGGAAGGCTATCCATCTTGAAAGTCAATGCAATCACCCATAAACATTTAACACAGCTTTGCTTCTTCAATAAACTATTTCAATAATAAATTTAAATGGTCTCCAAATAACAACCATAAATCTTTTAGCCAAAAACATAAAGTATTTAATAACTTATTCTATAAAACCAAATAATCTTCTAATTGAGCTATAACTAAATTCCTATCAATTTATTCTAACAATCTCTTAGTCCCCATGCAAATCCCAATACTCATACTTCTTCACCTAAAATGAGATGAAATTTGAAAAACGTGAGTTTAAGAACTCAGTAAGTAGTATATCATTTAGTACAAACAAGAATAAAAATTTTTAAACTAAATTTTATTGTAAAATGAAACGATAAAAAAAGCACATTTCTTTCCTCAAAACCAAAGTAATCCATTTTTCATCATTTATGTACATGTAACAATTCACAATCCACAATCCACAATTCACAATACTTAATCCTCAATCCACAATTCACAATTCATATTCTTTCATGATATACAATCCACAATTTACAATTCATCGATCCCGAATCTATCACAATACAAACAACTCAACTCTCATCAGGGTTAATCACACAGTCAAGACAAAACAAAAACCATTCTAAAATTACCATTTCAATAAAAATGAAGAAAAACAAATTTAAATTGACCACCTTCACATGGCCACAATCTCATCTCAAATTTAAATAAAATATCATGCTTGGTCCACAAATCATCTCATTTCATGATTAAAACATTTTAGCAAAAATCATTAAAATAACTCAAAACTTGATAAAACTCATTTAAATATATCAATTTGCTTTAAGAACACTAGAGAATATAACTACTTATCTCAATAACTATATTTCAAAATACAATTACCACACAACTATTCAAAACCTGAATGAACATCAAATAAACATAATTCTATCACCAAGTAAAAATTTATCCTTTACTTATTAAGCATCTACATAAAATAATTTTATAACCCATGCTACTAACGTCCTCTTCCTCAAATCTAACCACTCAAAACACACTTTTGAAAACTAACCACTCAAAACACACTTTTGGAAACTAACCACCTAAATAAATAATTCTCTCTTGAAAATTTCTCATGCCACACCACCAAATTCACAATTTTAATATTAATTCCAAAATCTATTTGTTACAGTACAATTAATCTCACCAATCATGGATCAACCCATTCTCTTGATTCCAAAATTCCTAAATATTTCACCAACCATGAACAATGAATTACCTCTAGCTATGCTTGAGAACAGTAGCCCCCATTAGTGTCTTTCCTTCTCTTCTAGTAAGAATTTTTGAGACAGAGGAAAGCCTAATAAATAAATATTGAGATAAGCTTTTAAATTCCACCCCCCCAACAATTCTTTTAATCATCTAAATTTAAGCTTAAGAAGACAAATTACCTTAGATTGACTTTAGTACGACTAGATCCCTTGAGCAATGCTCCTTCACTCGTGAGAGGAAGAAGATGTTCCAGATCCTAAAAAAAATGAAAACTGCCAAACAAATTTTGATTTAGATTTTTAACAAAAATGATTTTTACAACCTAGTCCCTGATGTACTTCTAGTGATGTGATTATGGTTCTTTCAAGTTTAGGCCTACGTTCTTCACTTTTTACATGACCTAAGAGGCTAACAACATCGATTGTCTCATATTGACTATTAGGCACACAAGAACGTATTATTAGTAAATGTGTAACATGTAGGTTTAAGGTTAGTTGCTTTACCTTTGGATTTTGTGGTATTCAAAGCTTCAAATGTTGGGATTCAAGGTAACCAGTAGGTGTTGAGCCCCAGTTTGAAGGATGGACTAAGAAAATGATCTCTAGGCATGCTATTCAAAACACTGACGGTCTGAATAACTTATTGGGACCATTAGTGGTATGAATAAGTGCCTCACATTGTAGAACATTCTGCTCTTTAAAAACTTTTGTTCCTTATATTTAAGGACAAGACTTATTTTTAGTGATGTGATTATGGTTTTTTCAAGTTAAGGCTTATATCATTCACTCTTTAAGTGATCTAAGAGGCTATTGGCATCAGTTGTACATCTCAAATTGCCTGTCAGAGACACAAAAACGTGTTATTAGTAAATGGGTAACACGTAGGTTTAAGGTTAATTCCTTTACCCTTATGTTCTATGGTATTCAAAGCTTTGGTTGGTGGAATTCAAGGTAACTAATAAGCATCAAGCCCTAGTTTGTGGGGTGGATTAAGAAAATGATCTCTAGCCCTATTATTCAAACCACTAATGGTTTGCATAACTTATTGGGATTGTTAGTGGTCTGAATAGGTGCCTCCCATTCTAGAACATTCTCCTTTTTAAAAACTTTTCTTTATTGCATTTAAGGACAAGACTCATTTCTAATAATGTGATTATGGTTCTTTCAAGTTTAGGCTTATACCATTTACTCTTTTAGTGACCTAAGAGGCTACCGGTTTCGATTACGCATCTCATATTGCTAACTAACATGCAAGAACATTGTACTAGCAAAATGGTAACATGTAAGTTTAAGATTAGTAACTTTACCCTTGGGTTCTACAATATTCAAAACTTTAGGTGTTAGAGTTCAAGGAAATTAATATGCAACAAGCCTTAGTTGGAGGAGTGGAGCAAGAAAATGATCTTTGGCCTTGTTTTTCAAGCCACTAACGGTTTAGATAACTTATTGAAATTGTCAATGGTCCGAATAAGTGCCTCCTATTCTAACTCTTCAAAAACTTTTCTTCCTTGCATTTAAGGACAATACTCATTTATGGTGATGTGATTACGATGCTTTCAAGTTTAGGCTTACGTTGTTCACTTTTTTAGTGACCTTAGAGGCTAACAGCATAGATTTTGCATCTCATATTACTCAATGAGGATGTAAGAACGTAGTATTAGTAAATGGGTAGCACATACGTTTAGGGTTAGTTTCTTTACCCTTGGGTTCTATGGTATTCAAAGCTTCAGTTGTTGGAATTTAAGGTAACTAGTAGGCATTGAGCCCTCGTTTGAGGGATGGATTAAGAAAATGATATCTCATCTTATTATTTGGACCACTGATGGTCTGAATAATTTATTGGGACCATCTGTTGTACGAATAAGTGCCTTCCATTTTAGAACATTCACCTTTTCAAAAACTTTTCTTGCTTGCATTTAAGGACAAAATTGGTTTCTAGTGATGTTATTACATATCTTTCAAGTTTACGCTTACGACGTTCACTCTTTTAGTGACCTAAGAGACTAACAACATTGATTGTGCATCTCATATTGCCTAATGACGATGCAAGAATGTATTAGTAGTAAATGGGTAACATGTAAATTTAAGGTTAGTTACTTTACCATTAGGTTCTACAGTGTTCAAAGCTTTGGGTGTTGGAATTTTGGGTAACTAGTACACATTGAGCCCCAGTTTGAGGGGTGGAGCAAAAAAATGATCTCTAGTCCTATTATTCAGACCATTGACGATCTAGATAACTGATTGGGACCGTCAGTGGTCCGAATATATTTATTTGAAATATCCTCCTTCACTTTTTTTTTTCTTTCTTTTCGAACAAGGACACAATTTGTTTCCTATTATTCAACTCGATTTCAAAACTATTCAAACCACTAGTGGTTTGGATATTTTAACCACTTTTTTCACTAAAAAAATTTGAATACGGAAGTCAAAATTTTTTTTAGTAATATTCAAACCACTATTGGTCTATAATAGTGAATTGCCAAAATTTTCTCAAAAATTTTAATCTTTGAATTTTTGCACCAATTTTTCGAATTAAGTATTTTAGATCATTAATGGTCTATATAAATCTTTGTCCATATATACTTAAAGTCTACACTTTTCCTCATAACTATTTGTGGCTTCCTCCCCTTTGATTCTCTTCTTCCTCTCCCCCTCACTAGCTCTCTTCTTCTTTTCTTCCCCTCCCTCTTTTCTCCTCCTCTTCTTCTCTTCTTTCTTCCTTCTTCCTTCTTCCCCTCCTCTTTTCTCTTCTTCTCTTCTTCCTCCTCCTCATCTTCCCTCTTCCCTCTTCCCTCTTCCCTCTTCCCTTCTTTAATTATCTACATCTAATTTTTTAATTTATATTTTCCTTTTCATGTTTTCATTTATTTATTATATTTCTGTTATTTCATTTTTATCTATCATGTTATAAATTCTTTACTAAGTTTATTTTCTTTTTTGTAGGTTATTATGAAAAATTGGGTAAACCCTAAACTTTCTAATTTATATATTTAATTTTCACATTTCTTTTGGTATCTAATAATTGCATTTCTTTTATTTTGGTAGGAAATGATAAAAATTACAACCTAAAATGGCTATAACTGATTCTTTATTGATTATTTTAATTTTAATTTTATTTTGATGTTATTTGTAGCATATATTATGGATTTGTTTCTTAAGTTTTGGTGGTCATTATAATTATTTATATATCTCTATTTTATTCTTTCTTTACTATTACAATTAATATGCTTAAGTTTAATTGCTAAATTAGTTGTTTATTTAAGTTTATGTAATATTTTATTATTTTAATTTTATTTTAAAGAATATTAAATATGATTCCTATAGTTCTTATAATAATAATAATAATATATTCTTAAAATTTCTTTTAAACATATTACATAATTAGTAAAAAAATAATTTAATTTTTTCTTTTTTAATGAAAACCATATTTAGTTCTTGAAAAAGAATTGTGTATTTGGGTAATATTTTATCATTATCACACAACTAGAATTCACCAATTTCCAACTAATATATTGGTTTGAAAAAATTGAAAATGTCTGAATAATTGTATTCAAACTAATAATGATCTAGATAATTTGACTGAGAAAACCTAGTTTGAAACAATTTTAGTCTAGACCAACCAATTATTGATTTGAATATTTAATTTTTTTCATACCAATGTTACTTTGAATAATTTTATTAAAAAAATCAGTTTTGATTAAAAAAATATATTAAACCGCACCACAAATGGTCCAAATGTATATGGAGTTAGGTGTTAAGATTGAAAAGTCTGAGGGTTGGCGTAAGCTTTTCTATAAACTATTATCTAGATGAAAATCGGTCTCAATAAAATTGAACTCAAGTGTAAAGAATGAAAAGCTTTGTGCCTAGGTTAAGGTTTCTTAAAATGTTTTATTCACACCAAAGTTGGTTTGTACATTATTTGTACTCAATTGTAAAGAAAGAAAGATGGGTAGTTTTCTGGCAATGAAAAAATAGATATTCCACACCACTATCGACTTAGAATATCAACCTTTAATATATATAAAAAAAAAAGAAAAAAGAAAAGAGAAATCAAGCCAGCTACTTTCTCATAGTCCTCCAGCCGAATTCTTCTTCTTCATCCTTGAGGTTATTCCTCTTCTTTTTCTTTTCTTAGGTTATTTCTCTTGTTTTTCTTTTCTTCTTCCTAACACAAGTTTATTCCTCTTTTTCTTTTCTTCTACCTAGCTCAAGGTTATTCCTCTTCTTTTTCTTTTCTTAGGTGATTCCTTTTTTTTTTTTTTCCTAACTTCTTCCTAACCCAAGGTTATTCCTCCGCTTTTTCTTTTCTTCTACCTAGCTCAAGGTTATTTCTCTTCTTTTTCTTTTCTTAGGTTATTCCTCATGTTTTACTTTTCTTCTTCCTAGCTCAAGCTTATTCCTTCTCTTTATCTTTTCTTCACCTAACTCAAGCTTATTCCTTCTCTTTATCTTTTCTTCACCTAACTCAAGCTTATTCCTTCTCTTTATCTTTTCTTCACCTAACTCAAGCTTATTTTCCTCTTGTTTTTCTTTTCTTCTTCCTAGCTCAAGGTTATTCCTCTTGTTTTTCTTTTCTTCTACCTAGCTCAAGGCTATTCCTTTTGTTTTTCTTTTCTTAGGTTAT